TGACCTTGTAATCTCTATTGAATATAATTAATTGAGTATAAAATGCATCTGAGTGCCCTGGAAAAAAATGCAATACAGGCTAAATTAAATTAAGTCAATAATCAGTGTAAAACAGGCATAATAGTGGGTTATATTCAGTTAACTTGCTCTTAACTGATTCACATGATAGGGCCCCTGAGAAACTGGAGTTTTGTGCAAGCTGCTTTTCAAAAGAGCATGAAATATGGGCTCTGGAAAATGTCCATTGGTATTTGAGATGCAAAAGGGAATGTAAATCAACTGCCAGAATAAATCTGGGGTGGCCTTTCAATGATATTTATAATATCATTGAGGTTTGACAATTGTTTACACAATTCTGTACCCTACATCAGCTATTTAATAATCTTTTAAACTTCATCCACTTTAGGGCTAATAGACACCCCAGATGAAAATGGCATGGAAAATGCTTCACCTGAGGTCATTTTCTAAAGTAGTATTAGCAACAACTCATCTGGTAGCAGGATCAGATTTAGCCTGGTAGGCCAATCTCATGGGAGATTAATAACGTCAAAATATTTTTTGAACAATATTTTTTAAATGTTTAATTGCAAATCTTTATTGTTGAAGAAGATATATTATAGAACTGCCCATATTCAGCTGCTAACTTGTTAAAAAAGAAAATGCAATGCTGTGTTCATACTAAAAATATACTCTACATCCAAAAGTCTGTAAAACAATCAGACAAATTAACAAGAACAACAACATTATTCACCATCAGTCAGTTCCAAAGGACTGCAATTGGGAACAGTGACAGTACCTCTAATACCATCAAACATCAACATCTGTCTATTCCAGGTCCTTGGAAAGGATTTGATAAGTGAATAAAAATGCCAAATCCAAATCCAGTCTGAACATCTGGCTGACTGTGCAACAAACCATAACAATAATAAACTGCAAGAGTTTTTAAAGAAAATGTTATAACTTCCTGTACACATTTGATATTATACACACAATTCCATACCTTATTCATATCTTACCCTCTGAGGATAGTGTTAGGCAGAAAACTGAAATCAACCACTTGGTGTAAATTCCTGGCTAGATATATTTACTTACTTTCTGGAGAAATAGAAGGTTTTACTAAACTAAACTAAACTAAATTAGTAGTGACTGACTTTTGTATAATATGGAAAAAACCCTCCTCTGTCTAAAGGTATCCTTTGGCAATATGCTCTCCTCCACAATATTTAGCTACTAGTTGGTGATAATTGAATCCAAAGCTCCTTCTGTGTAAGTTGTCATGGTACTGTCAAGTTTCTTCTTTTATTTAATGAAAGAGCACCATCTGGTAATTGCAGATAATTAAAATGAAAATATACAGAGGAAGGTGTTGATGTCACTCTTTTGATGAATAAATCACAATTCTTTTAAAGTGGCTTTTACTAAACTTGTTGGGCATGGATATATTCAAGGAAACCTAGATTTAAATCCATTTCTAAATCTTTGCAAGCAAAATATGATTCTTTATGTGTTTTAAAATAATTGTTCTATTTTGGAATACTGTATCCAATTTTTATCACGATGATGTAAAAAAGCTGTTGAGACTCTAGAAAGAGCACAGAGAAGAGCAACAAAGATGATTAGGGGACTCAAGGATAAAACATATAAAGAATGGTTACTGGAACTGGATATTTATGAAAAGAATAACTAGGGGTGAAATGGTTTCAGGTTCTCGTCCCCAGTTCTGTGGGTATATGCCCTTAGATTGGCATGTCTCTTTATGGCCCACACCATCTTTACTGGGTGAATATGCCCAGCAGTTGGATAATCTGCCACCCAATGCCTACCTCCAGAAGCCACCACCAGATCACATTCACCATTATTTTTTTTAAGTCACCGAAATCAAGTTCACTGTTATTGTTGCCTTCTACTCTCTTTTTCACCTCCTTTCTATTTATCCTCTACTTGCTTCAATCCAGCAACACTCTTATTATCCAAACATATATCCTAACTCAATGTCTATCATTGTCCATTCTTTCATTTTCCATCGAGGACTTCTATCACTTTCTCCATCTCCAACTCTTCTTACCACTGGAATTATTCTGGGGGAATTATTCTGGGGGGAAAAATAATTGCAAAAGAATGTTAAATCCTTAATTAAGATCCTTAAATTAAGGACACCATCCTTTGATCAAAGGTGAACCTCACCTGCTTAAGCTTTTAGTGTGGATTTCATCACTGTAAGGAAAGGGCCAATGTATCTGATGGGTGAGGGCAATGTATAGTTAGTACTACAAGTAGTCCTTGACTTACAAGTAGTCCTTGACTTTAGTGACAAATGTTCAATGACACTGAAAAAGTGACTTATGACCATTTTTGACACATATGGCTGTTGCAACATCTTTGTGGTCATGTGATAAAAATTCAGTCACTCGGCAACTGGCATGTATCTATGATGGTTGCAATTTCCCAGGGTCATGCAATCACATTTTGCGACCTGGTGTCTTAACCACTAGATCAAACTGATCTGGTCAAACTTTATAACTGCATTGCTTAGTGACAGAAATTCCAGTCTCAATTGTGGTTGTAAGCTGAGGAATATCTGTAAGTATGGTTGATGGGTAGGTATTAGTCTTCTGACTTAATAGTGATGTTGGGAGAGGTGACTTTGATCAAGAAAACAGAACAAGGGAAGGATTAACCTTCCATACACTTCCAGTAATCCCGGCCCAATCAATCTAAAGCCTCCAGAGACTGCTCTGAAGAAAAATGTTACATCTATCCCCATGTCACACACAAGATAGCTCTACACTTCTTATTTGTACTACATGTTGACATTTTGATGGTAGTTGCAAATTCTCCCTTGTGTCAACATCAGAAACAGTCAGTCCCAGGCTTCTACTGCCACGTTCAAGCTATGTTTACACAGGATAGATCTCCTAGAATTGATGCTGATGTTTGTTAGGTTTTTTTAATCTCCCAAATTGTGCTCCCTAGTGTGGCCAAGTCCATGATCGTGATATAGAAGTTTGATACTTTGTACAAGCCACCTGAGGTCTTGATTCTTTTTCCCTCTGCTGTGATATTTTTATTATATTTTTGAAAAAATTGCAAGTCATCACATTTCCTGCTGGCAGTGAGTAAACGCCAAGCTTAAGAATGCTGTGAGGAATGCCATTTCATATTTGTAGAGAGATCATTTATCTTAGCATCTGAAAATTATTTTTCCTATTGCCTGTATCATATACCAAAAACCAGGATTTACAACCCGGTGTTCCACTACAGAGTAATAAAGTTGGTCAAATATTTATGCAGAGAAAGTAAAAGGAAAAAAAATCCCTTTGCTTAATAAGTTGTCTTTTTCTTATGAAACTGCTACTGCCAATTTTATACCGCCTTTGAAAAATGTTCTGTGGTGCCTAGATGTTAAATGTCTAGCGAAGCAATACCTCCCCTGAGGGGAAGGATGCATACAGCATTTCTGCTATTTCATGATTTTACATGGTATATGTATGTTGAAAGAAATCCCATTGTCTCTAGAAAATTCACCTTTGTTTCATTTCTTGTGTCTACACGGTTGCAGATTTCCTGTCAAATTGTCTTAGCTCCATCTTGAAATATAGCTGTTTGCTTCAAGCTTTCAAGAGACTGCCCCTCTCTCTCACAGAGCAACTGTTTGATATTTAAGCATACATTTTTAAATGAAAGGACAATTTAGGTATCTTTTATGTAGCTAAGGATTTCGTGTTTGTGAAATATACTTTTCTTAATTTTTGCTATAGTGTGATTGATGATGATGTTAAATAAAAAAACAAAGAAACCACACTATGGTTTAGCACAGAAATTCACTATTTTCACCAGCCTGTCAGTTGCATCAAATTTTGCCTGATGTGCTGAGGGCATATTCCTGATGTGGACAGCACTCATTTTTCATTGATTTTAAGAGAGTAAGTCGTGGGAAGTTTGTCTCTCTAACTTGCCAAAGCATCTCTGCAGGGCCTGAAAAAGATTGTTAACCAACCATCAGATGTTTGGCTTTTCTAATTTTAACATGCTGCATTATTCTTATTGTTCTTATTAAATTTATTTGCCACACATCTCACAGTTCAAAGCAACTCTGAACAGCATATAAATTCATGCTTGGGTTTCTCATTTTTAAACCAGATCTGCACCCAGGGTTTGGTACAATGGTGATTTCTCATTGGCAGACTATAACAAATTTTTGAAAATTTATATCAGCGCCAAGAACTTTTCATTTTTCAAGAATTTGTTTTTATTGTTTCATTTCTATTGAATTGTTCATTCAATAAGGAACATCTCGTTTAGTTGTATGACTGTAGCTGTCTCCAATGCCTTTTCATAATACATGAAAAGAATGATAAGGGAGTTTATTTCTATAGTGTTCTTGTTATATTGTCAGGTTGACTTAATATTATCTAAACATTGAATCAAATTCTGTCATATGAAATAACCATGGTAATTTCCCACATCTTAACACACAGCAGGTAGGATTTAGTCGTGACTAAGTTAAGCTCCATTGGTTTCTATGGATCACTTCAGCTGTAAGCATGACTAAGCCTGCAGAAATGTATGGTGCTGCTTTCTATATTAAACTAATACATGAAATAAGTGAAAATTAGTATGGATAAAAGGTTTGAGTTGTGAGCACAACAGCCTCAAAGGTATTGCATCTAATGTGATCATTTAGTTTCCCAGTGAAATTGATGAAATGTAAGTCTTTATCTGTGCAGTTCCATTCCACTGATTTCAGTGGGATTCATTTGCAGTATAATTCTTTAACTCTTTCTACGCCAAAGTCAAGGTAATTAAGTTCAGGAAAATTTATTTTCCAGCAAATATGTTAAGTCTTTTTAGTGGTTTTTAACATGTACTCACAGAATTTTCCTTATGACTGACCATGTGGAATATTCAAATATTTTCACAATTTATCAGGTTAAGCTGAGTGATACAGATACCTTGACTATATTTATGTTGTTTCTTTTGTGTGTGTGTGGTTCGTGTAGTTTTTGAAGAGCCCGAAGATCCAAGTAACAGATCTTTTTTTTCTGAGATCATCTCTTCAATTTCTGATGTAAAATTCAGCCATACTGGGAGATACATCATGACCAGGGATTATCTCACTGTCAAGGTGTGGGATCTGAATATGGAGAACAGACCTATTGAGACATACCAGGTATTTTATCTTTATCCTTTGGTTCCTGGGATGTGAATGAAGGGTGTAGGTATTAAATACAGTGTTTGAAAGTGTGGGTATCTTCACAACATCCCAAAATGCTTCAAAACCATTTATTTTTACATGTATTTATTTATTACTGCTGTGAGATCTTGGAATTGGCCTACACATAATTTACCGATTTCAATTATATTGCTAATGCAGTAAAAAACAGACTCTTGGTGGGTTTTAGTACCATGTTTCTCCAAAAAGACGACCCACCTTGAAAAAAAGCCCTATCACGTTTTTGAACGCATGTGATCAAATTAAGCTCCACCCACAAAATTAGCCCTAATTTAGACCCCAACCATGTTGGGGTGCAGGGGGTGGAGTGAGGCACACAGGTAAAAAATAAGCTAGGGTGGAGATGGGAGGGTGGAGCTGCCCTACTTACCAGGCCTCAAACACCCTGACACCTGCCTCACCTTCTTCTGCAGCTGCTTCTTCTGCAGCCGCTTGCCAACACTCGCACGCATTGCCTTGGCCTTCGTTTCGCCTTTAGATGCCTTCCGGCAGGCATCTGAAGACAAAATGGAGGCTGGGGCGATGCGTGCAAGTGGCGGCAAGTGGCCGTAGAAGAAATGGGCCAGCAGTAGGCTCCTGCTGGGCGGGGCTGTCCGTGCCACCGCCATGAAGTGAGTCAGTAATTAGAACCTTCCAAAAAGAAGCCCTAGCTGTTTTTTGGGGGTTCAAAAGAAAATAAGACCCAGGCTTCTTTTTGGAGAAACACGGGTAGTAAGAGCAACAGAAACCAAAACACTGAGATTAAAACATCCATGATAAAAGTCCCGAAGGTGCTTTTTTTTCCAAGCAACTGGACTTTCTTGTTTTTCTTTGAAGACGTTTTGCTTCTGATCCAAGAAGTTTCTTCAATTCTGACTGGATGGTGGGGAATAGAAGGATTTATATTCCTTGCAGATGGCTGGTCATTTGCATTCTTTTAAAGAGTCATTGAGGCCATTTGGAGGTTTGTCTGTGTCCTCAGGATCCCCTGAGTAGTACAAATGGATGTGGATCCTTCTTGGAACTGCTGAAAGGACTGTGTTATAGACTGGAGAAGCTTCTTGGATGAGAAGCAAAATGTCTTCAAAGAAAAACAAGAAAGTCCAGTTGCCTCTTGAAAAAAGCACCTGAGGGACAACCATGACCTCAATGACTGAGAATCTCCAAAGACATCCATGATAGAAACTAAGATAAAATAACTGTTGCTAATAACTTCAAACTCTTGTCCTCTGAAATCTGTGAGCAGAGCTTGAATCAAACTTTAGCATGGTTTCCTTCTGAGTGCTTCTTTCCTTTTATTCTTTGTGTCTCTCTTTCTTCTAGGTTCATGATTACCTCCGCAGCAAGCTGTGCTCCCTCTATGAGAATGATTGCATTTTTGATAAATTTGAATGTGTATGGAATGGGTCAGACAGGTGAGGAGTTATATGCAGGATTATTATTTTTCATTTTCTGATTCCTCAAATCCACCCACTTTTATCTTTTCTGCTCTTTATTTCCTCATGCAGTGCAGAAACAATTTTTTTTGGGTTAAAGATAAAATATCATTAAATTTCAAATTTCATTGAAACTTGAAAAATGCTCTACAATAAATCTCCTGACTCGTTCAAATGTCACTCTTGTCATCCAGAAAACTAACACAAGACATACAAAGAGCAGCTGCAAGCAATTTGAAGAGAAGTTACTTGAATTAAGATAGTTGAATATGTACTGCTTATGTTGGGCCAAGCATACAGATCCCAAAAACCTGATAAGCATAGAACTGATGGTGAAATGAGCTGCACACAATGACACCAACTTATTAATGTTCTTATGGTACATTAGCATTGGGATGAGTTATGGGGTTTTTAAAATGAAAAGGAACTTGCACTAACTTACATAAATTAGAATTTATGAAAGCCACGCATGCAAAGCCAAGATTTAATTGGCTCCATTTATGAAATAGAAATTAAATTGAAGTGACCTATATATAGTTGCCTAACTCTTCCTTGGAAACTATGGCTAATGGAATTGGGATGTTTCTTTTTGTCAACATTATACTTTCGGCTATGGACAATTAGAAAATTAAAAAGTAATTTGAATATTGCTCATTTGTAACATAAAATTAAGCATGAAATTAACTTGCCATTGTAATTAGTTTTTACATTTTCACTCTAAATATTGGCTGCAGGATTTGTGGACAGGAATATTTCTCTGAATCCACCAGTCCCAAGAAAGGCCCTAATCTAAGGGATGGTGCTGCATTGGGATCCTTCCTTATTTGCAAGCAGCATTCCCCTTGATCTAAATATTTATGGGGGCAACCCAAGCCAACTCTTGAACTTGCTGAAGCTTTTAATTGGATCCATTATCATCATTCTCTTGCTATTCCATCCCACACTTCTTTAGGGTCTCCTTGTAGTGATTTCCCAAGAAAGGAGATAAAAATAGGTGTCCCCTGTCCAGTCATGTCCGACTCTAGGTGGTGCTCATCTCCATTTCTTAGCCAAGAGAGCCAACATTGTCCCAAGACATTTCTGTGTTCATGTAGCCAGCATGACTACCAGGAACACTGTTACCTTCCCACTGAAGTGGTACCTATTCATCTACTCACATTTGCATGCTTTCAAACCGCTAGGTGGGCAGGAGCTGGGACAAGTAACGGGAGCTTACCCTATTGTGTGGTGCTCAGGTCTCGAACTCGGGCTGTCAGCTTTACAGCTGACAAGTTCTGCATCTTTAACCACTGAGCCATCCCTCTCCCTAAGAGAGGAGATATGGTGGGTATGTCTTAAAGCTGGATCTGTGCTGAAATGGGGTGTGGTTGAAAGAAGTTGGAAAACTAAAAAGGCTCTAAATTTCACTTGACAGTTTGTTTGTTTGTTTGTTTGTTTTTTGCTTGCTTCTCAGTGTCATCATGACTGGCTCCTACAACAATTTCTTTAGAATGTTTGATCGCAATACCAAGCGTGATGTGACTCTTGAAGCCTCAAGAGAAAACAGCAAACCCCGTGCCATCCTGAAGCCTCGCAAAGTTTGTGTTGGGGGCAAAAGGAGGAAAGATGAAATTAGCGTGGACAGTCTGGACTTTAGCAAAAAGATCCTGCATACAGCTTGGCATCCTTCAGAAAATATAATAGCAGTGGCAGCAACAAATAACCTGTATATATTTCAAGACAAGGTTAACTAGGAGGGAGAAAAGATGCTCCTTGGGAATCTAATATTCTGGAGACTAGCAAACAAAAGTTTTCTAAAGTTTTTTTTTTTGTCCTGTTTTCTTCTCCTTGTGTTTTTTTTTTTCCCATCATTCCTCTGCAGACACTAACTGTGCAGAGGTAAACTCTCAGATTCCAACACTTATTGCTTTCCCCCCAATATAAAGAAATTGGGTAGCAAAGCAAATTAGGAACAGTTGAATTTTAAGTACTGAAAGCAACCAAGCTGCTACTACCACAGGGAGCTTGAATTCTGTATGCTTTCATTTCCCCAGTAGTTGCTGGTAATTTAGTTCCTTTACAAAGATAATTTGTAATCTAGAACAAAGGTAAGATTACTAAATTATATTACGAAAAAAGAAAACAAAACTCAGCCAAGGCCATGAAACAAAGATGCATTGTATTAAGCTATCTCTTTTTTTAAAAAAAAATTACTTGGAGATTTTTCTTTCGTTTTACATTATTTGAAAACAGGATTTAGGATTCCTGTCGATTCCGTTCTTGTAATTGAGTGTTTACCTTTTTAAAGTGGTGTGTGTTCCTTTTATTAACTCAGGGCCTTTCCAGATGATCATTTATTGTTATCACACAATGAATGTTTTCCTGTAACTCAGTTCTTGTGAGAGATACATCTTTTTTTTTTTGCCCCAGATTGCACATTGGATTAAAAATAACATAACAACATAAAGTTGCAGCCTGTAAAAAAACACCATCTTCAGGTTTTCACACCTTCCACAAAGGACTCACTGCCTTGAAAGTGCAGTGACGTCTAGGTGCACAACTCTCATTGTCACCTGTTGAGTAGTGTCTGTGACATCAGAGGTGACCTATGATCCGTGTTCACTTTGGCCATAGTGCTAACGTACTTACATTTAGGAATAGATGAAGACCATTAAAGCCAGACTAATCCACCTAAGGCTTTCTGACTTCTTTCTCTTTGTCTTCTTCTTTTACATGTAGTTCAGTTCCGCTGACTCTGGTTCCAGCATTGATGCAACCGTCCCTTTTTTAAAAAAAAAACAAAACCCAAGATTTATTTTTTAAGATTTAGGAAATAGGTAAACTTCCCCAGTGATATCCCGCCCTATCCCATCCCGCTCCGCAAAGAAGAGCTGTTTCCCTTCCACAAATGCAAATTCTCTTCTACTGCATTTGGAAGGGAGACTGCGCTACTCTTGCTGGATGCAGGCTAGTGCAACGTTGTTCTTAAAGGGCAAAAAGGCCCGTTTTCTTATCTGGAAAGAGCCTCAGACAGGAAAAACAAAGGCAAGACAGAAGGAGCAGGTTTTGCAGCAGGAACATTTTGACTCATCGTTCATGGAAGGCCAGGGATGCTACCACAAGCTGCAACCTGCCGTCATGATTCCCCCCCCCCACAAATGGTCTCTGATGGATTTGGCTGAGTCAATCCTTTGGTGCCTTTTGATGGTATACAAAATACCTTAAAACACAATGCTTCCAAAACGTGGTATTTGCAAACCAAATTGAATCTGAGCTTTCTTCTGCAATTCCTGCAAATTTTATTTTGGGTTTTTCTGTTTGTTTTATTTTTTTAGTTCTGATTTGCTTTGGATAAAAAATCTCAGAACAGTTCTCTTTTAATCTCTTGCATGTCATAAATATATATGTGTTGGTGGGGGGCAGAATCCCTTTTTTTCTTCTAGTCGTGTATTTTTTAAAGTATTGTTTGTTTGTTTATTTATTTATTTATGCCAAGTGTCATTTTTTTTCCCTTTCTTTTCGAGAGTTTAAAAAAATAAGAACTCCTTAGTTAAAACTGTATGGCTTTTAAAAGAACTCAAACAAAAATAACCACCAAACCATCTTGTAATGCTATTATTATTCTTAGCACTCGGCTGCTTTCTAAGAGAGGTTGCTCATAGACAGGCGGTATGAAGATTTAACTCGAATAGCTCTTCATCTTTGCATGGTAAACTGTGCAGTTCTACTAAAGGATAATGCCAGTCCTGCCTTCATTTGATCAGTTTGGGAGGCAAATAAAAAGAGGTGGGTGGGTGGAGGGTGGGAAGGAGGGAAGGAGGGAAAAATCAAATAGCCGATTCTACAAAAAATAAACTTAATTCTTTCTCTAACGAGGCAGGTATTTGAAAATCAATGTGCTTTGCATTTTTCTGATTGTAAAAAGGAGGCGATAGCTTCAACTTTTGTGATTGTTGCAGTGAAGCATACAAGAATACCTGGATACGTTCTCTGGTAGAATGATTTGGGGGGGTGGGGGAGGAGAGACTTATTTTCCTGTTCTGGGCTACCAAGGCTTTCCCTTTATAAATGAAACTGGCCACAGTTTTCTGAAAAAGATATCACATCCATGCAGTTATCCAGAACACTGAAGGGGTGGGGACATGAAAATCCTGGAGACAAGAAGAAGCTTAAACATTTAGAACCAAAACTTTTCTTTCATATTAGACCGCTTGCAACCTTGTCCTCTCTTCATAAGATTGAGCCGGACACGGTCACATTAGTGGTTTTGCCTTGTTTGAAGGAGCGATCACAAGACAAAAAAGTATGCTGGCTTATAAATTTATGGCAAGCAATGGCTTTCAGAAGTAGCCTCTTTTTTTTTTTTTTTTTGAAGAAAAATGATTTTTAAAAAAGTAGATGGGTCATTTTTCTATAAAAAGAAACAAAACTAACAAGCTTACATTCTAGTACCGAAAGAAACATTTTGTCCAAGATGCTCCGATGTGAAGCTACCCATTACTAAATATTGAGCAATTCAGTTTAAAGATCTGGCACAACAATAGCAATAGCACTTAGATTTATATACCGCTTTACTTTGCTTTTACAGTCCTCTCTAAGTAGTTTACAGAGTCAACCTGAGCACATTGTAAGCCGCCCTGAGTCTTCGGAGAAGGGCGGCATATAAATCAAATTAAAAAAAAAAAAACCTATTGCCCCCAACAATCTGGGTCCTCATTTTACCCACCTTGGAGGGATGGAAGGCGAGATTCGAACTGCAAAATTGCAGTCAGCTTGGCAGTCAGCAGAAGTAGCCTGCAATACTGCACTCTAACCACTGCACCACCATGACTAATAATCCCAAGCATTCAGGCTTCCCCAATCTGGCTCCCATGTTTGGAGAGTGGCAGTTTGGGAAAGGCTAATTTAAATGTAGAACTTCTGATTTCACTTAATCTCATGTGCTCGTATGAAGAGAGAATAAAGGTGACATGTTTTATGGAAAGTAATGTCTTTGCTGAATGCCAAAGTATTTAACCATCTTCGGAGAAGCGCTCAGACAGGATTCTATCGAGGGCCGTCATCCTCAAGGTTTGTCATCCAAATCTTATTTTTATTTACATATCCCATTTTTATGGACGTTCATCTCGGAGTCCAGGCAGTGTACAAAAGTAAAGTTCTTATAAGGAAGTCAGTGATGGCGTATCAGACATAGTTATGAACCATGGAAGGCTGAGGATGTTTGCAAAGGGTTCCTCCCACTCTTTGACTTCAGTTCTTCTCACTGCATCATAAAGTACTGTTGAATCTCTTAAGCGTTTTAAAATACCTTGTCAAACACTGCACCGCTCCTGTTAGAACGTTATAACCCAACTGCATGGAAAGAGCTTACAGGAGAATTCTATGATCCATATCATGCACGTATTCCCTTGGTGGTCCTGCTGCAATGTAGTCACACTGTGTTTCATCATGCACAACTGGGACCAGATTGCCTCAGATTATCCTTTTTCTTTCAAGGGCCCCCCAGAGAGGGTAGCACACACAGAGGCACTCAGGGACTATGAATCTGTGAAATTATTGGACTACGATGTTAAGGAGTTTAAAAATCAGTCGCATTTACTTTTCCTTATTATCCTGGGTTAATGCCCAAATTTGTTATAGAGGACCCAATCCTTTTCCATGGGCTGGCTTAAAATCCAGGGGTGAAATCTAAAATTTTTTGCTACCGGTTCTGTGGGCGAGGCTTGGTGGTAAGGTGACTGGGTGGGCGTGGCCAAGTCAATGTCACTTCTTTGCCCTTTTTTAACCTACAAAACACAACACAACACAACTGGCTCACCCACAATGTAAAAGCAGCTGTCTAGACCCAAAATGGCCCTGCAACAAGCAGGAACCTCACACAGCCACAAAAAGCCCCAAAAAACAACTTTCACACTTTACACACACACAACACAACACAACACAACTGGCTCACCCACAATGTAAAAGCAGCTGTGCTAGACCCAAAATGGCCCCTGCAACAAGCAGGAACCTCACACAGCCACAAAAAGCCCCAAAAAACAACTTTCACACTTTACACACACAAAATTCCACATACAGCTTTGTGAGATTTTGTGTGTTTGTGTAGTTAGAGTGAAACACTACAGAAACACACAATCTCAGAAAGCTGCACAAATATTATTTTATTTTAATTTATTTTTATTTTTATATAAAAGCAGCTAAATTTAAAACTTCCTAAACTTTAAATGGCTAAGTCTAAAAAAAGAACAACTAAAAAACCCCAATTAAGTATTTTTTTTAAAGCTCCCAAAGGGGGGAAAAACTTACCCAATAGAACAGGGTCTACAACCTTGGCAACTTTAAGACTTGTGGACTTCAACTCCCAGAATTCCTCAGCCAGCTTTGCTGGGAGTTGAAGTCCACAAGTCTTAAAGTTGCAGATAGAGCTGCTCACCAATGAGCTTGATTGTAGGCAGGAAGATTCAGTTGCTTGCTGATGCAATGGATTGCAGGTATTACAGCAAGTGAAGCAAGCCAGGCATTGCGACCAGCAGCTAAGGTAAGCAAGGGGCTCAGGGGGTGGGGGGGAAAATAAACTTTTTTTTCTTTTACATGGCTCTGGCGATCCAAGCTGAGTTGCCTGATTAGCAGGCAACTCAGCTGGGGTCGTCAGAGCCATTTAAAAGGAAAAAAAGGCTCTGGTGATCGCGCGGCTCAGCTGGGCATGGGGGGCGGGGGCAGGGATTTTTGCTACCAGTTCTCCGAACTGCCCGCCGCCATCTCTACCTACTCGCCCAAGCCGAATATTTCACCCCTGGCTTAACCTTTGCATTTATTAACGTTTTCTTAATATCAGGCACGTTCAACAGAGATAATTTACAAATTAAGTGGGCATTTCTGGTACCGTTGAGTGGTATCTTTCCACTCAGGGCCCAAAAACTGCTCCACAGTGTATCAGATTACAACAGAGATGTGAACAAACAATATTATCCCTCAATCTACTAAAGGTCTTCAGCTTTCTTTTCTTTTTTTTTTGAATTTTTTTTTATTTTATACACAAACAAACATTTAATACATCAGTCATCCCTCCCGTGTGACATCTCGGCGTTTTCTCTGTAACTTCATCAGCTTTCTTGATACTTTCAAGACTGGTCTAGGTAAGCCTTGTAGACACTCTAGGAAGCAAAAAAAAAAAATAAAAATCTGAAAATCAAGAACGAGGGAAAAAATAACCCAGGTTGAGAATGTTATGCTCCTCCAAAGCATCCAAGAGAGAAGATTTATTGTATACTAGAACATCAGCTGGAATACTTCACAGGTTGGTGCTTTCCAGGTGCTTCAGGACTACAACTCTTAGAAGACCATGGAATCTAGACATTCAAGATGTTGGACTCTCAACCTAACTGGAGCTGCCATACTGCAGAAGATGCCTAAAAAAATGGGGGCCGGGAGGAAAGAATCAATTAATCTGGTATAGATCAAATGTCTGAAGAGCCATAAGAAGGCAGAGGGTAATCCCAGAGACTATGACTATGGTTCTTAAAACTATAAATGTGGTTTCTAAGAGAAACCTGTCAACCTATCACCTAAATGAAAGACTATTCTTGTATGGCAGTATTATAAAAACAAACTCATAATTTCAAATAGGTCATGGTTGCAGTAATTATGTTACGTTCAACTATTGACTTTGTTTAAGAATTGCAGGGGATTTTATGAAAACTTGAAACTCAAGATTTTTCAGGGTTTTAATATTGTGTCAAGTTCACATACTACCATATTTATTTCTTGAATTTATACCCAAAATAACTCAAACTCACTATTAGTAAAATAATAATAATAAGAGGGAGCAGGATATAATTATCGTATTTTTCGGAGTATAAGACATACCTTTTTCCCCCCAAAAAGAGGGTGAAAATCTGGGTGCATCTTATACTCCGAATGCCCCACCCAGCTCCTCAAACAGAGGTTTCAGAGGCTGAAAAAACCATCAGAAACGAAGCTTCAGAAAAGAAGCCCCCAAACAGAGCTTCAGAAAAGAAATCAGCTTCAGACAAAAAACAGCTTTTTTTCTGAGGCTTTCAGAGGCAGAAAAAAAAGTTTTTTCTGAAACAGTTTCAGAAATTTCAGAGGCAGAAAAAAAAGCAAGGCACAGAGCTCACAACCAAGGAACCTGTTGCTAAAATTCACCTCTGGGAACAGCTGATTGGGGGTATTCCGGGAGGCCTCCACCTGCCAATCAGCTTTTTTCTTATTTTCCTCCCCAAACACTAAGGTGCGTCTTATACTCTGAAAAATATGGTAGTGTATGCACCTGGCTCAATTAGAAACATGATGAAAATGATCTGTGGTTGGTGAGAGAAGGTTAAGAGGATCAAGCTTTCTTGTTCTGCCTATGAGGGCTATATCTACAGTATTTCTTTACTGTTGAAAATTGTTACCTGGAGCACTTTTGCACCAGAAATTCTAATTTATAATCACATAAGTGAATTATTCTTGGTCTTTATCCAAGTACAATCCCAACATATTTGGGGTGCATCTTGGCTGATTTTCTGAATACCTGCAACAGTGCATCAGAGATCTTCAAGAAGAGACATGGATGGTTTTGCTGGCCGTCTTAGAA